AATTGTGGATGTAATGGTAGTTAAACTCTATTTTTTTTAAATTCTTACATTTTGTTTCTTAAAAAATATTGGTTTGAATGTTTGTTAAATAAAATTATCATTTTAGAATAATCGTGGTGTATTGTGGGAACAGGAACTCTACGAAGGTTTTCTGTATTATAAAGAACGAAATTTTTTTCATACTTTTGAAATTGATGTAAGTAATTTAGTTCCTTTGTATGACATCATTTGTATATAAGTCATACGGTTCTAATATAAATCCTTTAGAATTACCTTGCGGCATTTTCATTTGCCAATGAAAATGAAGCTGACGTTTTTCATTCGAAAGTAAAGAAAAATCTTGGTAAAAAAGGTTTGTATTTTTATTTATTTATTTATTTTTTGTTAAAGGTTTCTTTACTAGTTACATATTAATGGAATTATCTAATCTAATAACATTCAAAATAAATAAAAATAAATAGTTAAGCAATCCAAAGAACAAAAGCCCAAAAAAAAAGAAAAGAATGGAAAAATAAGTAAAGCTATGATTAGTCAACCATCTGATTTCAGGTTTGTTCATTTATTAATTTTATAAATTGTTTAGAACAAAAATACTAAAATTTTTTCTCATTAAAGACATTTGGGACATATTGGTTTTAATCCAGACTCAGGATATGATGTAAGCATTAAAAAATTTCTTAATTTCTTGGGGTGAATTCAAATCGATTAAATTTTATTATTTATTTTTATATTATTGTTCGTAGGCACAAAATATAGATCCTGCATGGAAAAGTTTTCTTGATTCATTGGGAGATTTGGGTGTTCCTCAGGTAAATCTATTTATTAAATAAAGTTTATTAAAGTATTGCGTTATATTGAAATTCTTTTTAACATATAATATATTTTAAATATTTCAAAATATTTTCAGTCAATTATTGAAAAAGATTCAAACTTTATCATGGAATTCGTCCAAAATAATCCAGATGTTAAGAGATTAATACCAACTCAGACCTCTTCAAGGTCAACTAATAATAATAATTCAAAGAAATTACTTCCTGCACCCCCACCATCTAAACATCAAAAACGTCAGCCTCAGTTACCTCAGTTACCAGTCAAAA